TTTCACTTTTAATAATTTGAAACACTAAAAAACTTTAAGGGAAACATGAGGATAGCAAAAATAAAGCATAAAAGCAAGAAAAAACAAAAAGCTGAAAAAAGGGCAAGAAGTTAGTTGTGCGAACTTCCTGATGAATTTTCCCAGAAAAACATCAATAAGTTCATTGTGCGAACTTCATGTCGAATTTGCCCAGATACACACTATTCACAAACAGAGGCGAAAGGGGGCAAAGTTCGCTGTGCGAACTTGCCAGCGAATCTGCTCAGAAAAATCATCAACAAGTTCGTTGTGCGAACTTGCTGACGAATTCGCTCAAATACGCATTAATCACGAAAACAGAGGCGAAAGGTGCCAAAGTTCTCTATGCGAACTTGCCAGCGAACATGACAACACTTTTGAGTGTTTTTTCAAACTATTTCACCATAAAACTCACTCCTGTTTCTCTCTTTTCTTTTGTTTTCTTTTACAACATAGGTCACTCTTGAGACCTCATTACAATATATACATCAACAAATGTTATCCTAACTAACAATGATAAAAAGAAATAAATAAAACAAGCATGCATGCAAAAATATGAAAATGTAAAAGAGAAAGGTTTAGAGAGATGGATACCCCAGAACTTCTACTCTTCTCCTAGCCACCAATGTCCTTTGTTGGATGTGTCTTCCTCAGATTTTCCCTCTGTGTTTCTACCTTTATTTTTTTCTTTTTTTCTCTCTAAGCTCTCATGTTCTCAATGTCACTTGTTCTCTCTTATTTTTCTGGTTTTCTCAATATCTCTTGTTCTCAATGTGGTCTCCTCTTTCTCTCCAATTGGGCTCCCTTTTCCTACTGCTGCTGCTTCTCTTTTATAGCTAAATCATTAGGATTTGCACATGTTTGTTCAAACTTCATAATTTCTACCCTTAGAAATGTCTATTGTCACTTTCTTGATGCACCCCTTTTCTTTCCATTTCTAGAAATCCTGTTTTTCTGCATCTTTTGCTGTTGTACCAAAGTATTAGAGTTTACACATGTTTCAAGTTTCAGAATTTCTATACTTGGAAATGCTTATTGCCACTTTCTTGGTGCAACCCCATTTCTTTCCATTTCTAGAATGCTGCTTTTTCTGCATTTGCTGTTGCACTTTCCTAGTGTTGTTTTTTTCTGCTGCCCTTTTGCATTGCTCTCATTTGTTTGCTTGTTCTTGAGTTGTCCTTGTGGTCCATGCCTCTACCTTTGACAGAATTTTGAAATTCTAGTTTTTGATATGTACGTGAACCATCATGAGTTAGTTCCTTAGGTTTTGTGACATGGTTTGTTTGGTTGTGAGTTAGTTGGTTATGGGGTTGTCTTTGAATTAATTTGAAAATGCCTTGAATTTGCCCATGAATAAGCATAAATGATCTTGCTTTTGAAAGGTTCCAATGTTGAATTAAACCTTAATTATTTTCCTTGGATATTTGTGGGCTTAATTGACTATGAATTATGTGTAACACATGGAGATTTGATGAGGCGTGAAGGGTACCATAACATGAAATTGGTTAGATACTTGAATTAAGACTATAAAGAGCTTAATTTTCTAAGCATTGTTTGGAGTTGGAAACTTTGCAATAAATGTGACATTCTTGCAAATGTCATGAAATTTCCTTTTGTAATATCCTTGAATCTAATGTTGAATTCATGAATCTTGAATTTGGAATGATGGATTTCCCTTATACCATTAAATTTGAAATGGATGAAGTCTTGAATTATGAACTTGTGATCTTTTGAATTCCACTTGAACATAGAATTTGAAACAAAGTTGGATGAAGAAATCTTGAATTAGGCCTTGCAATTCATGTTCATTAGGAACATTGACCTTGAATACCTCAATATTTTTCAATTAACTTCTCCTTGAAGAAATTTACATGAGTAGACTTTTCAACTTGAACCAAACCTTAGATGATGAACATTTCTTCAATGTAGCCCATGATAGGAAACTTCTCTTATTTGAAATGGAAAACAATGAATCGACTCATTCCTTATCTTGTAAACCCACATGCTCGATATGCACTAGAACAACGTATAATATGATGAATGTAGGATGCGAAAGCTAAGGTGAAAATGAGGGTGTGACAGCAGTTTCAAAGTATTTCTGGAATGCTTGGATTCATTTGATGTATGTTGAAATACCTTTCTCCACTTTGTCCTGCACAAGGGAAAAAGCTCTAGTTAGTTAGAGATTGAAGGAAGCTACATCAAAGAATTCTGCAGTGTAATATTCTCTCCACCAACCATCTAACTCTCTGGTGCAGAGAAAACATGGTTTGAAGGCCACGGGATTGAACTCTATGAGATCAGAAAACTTAGCTAACTTAGCACAATTCTCCTCATTGTGCCACATGTTGTTATAAAGCAAAAATCCCTTTTTGGGAAAAAGTGGTTTGGGTTTAATTTGGATATGACTAAACTGTCGAGAGACGATATTTGGTTGGTAACTGACAAGAGAAATCTTAAGCTTTGAAGGGTTGATCCTTGAAGTTAGCAACCTTGGCGTCAGGAAATATTCCCAAATGTCAAGAGATTCAACTTCCTGTTCTTTTGACTCAGGAGGAAAACTTCCTTGTGAACCATCCAGAGCCTACTTTTCTATTGGCAAAAGGGGCCATGTTGGGAGAAAAATTATAAAGCTTTGCAAACATCATCACGTAGTTGGTGAAGGTGTACTGAAGATCCAGCCCTTCGTCACTAGGAGTCATTCGGGCAAGCCTCGTCCCTTCGACCCTTCTATTCTTCACTTCGACGGATGCTTCCTTAATGGAATTTCGAGCAGGAAGGGATGCTTCAAAAGTGGCATTCATCCATAGTTGCAGCAGTCAGAAAGGTTCAGAAAGGAGAAAATTTCCTCTCGTCTTGATTGTCTTCAATATTGTGATGCCTTCACCAAGGGATTCGTACAAGTTGGCCAGAATTATTTCGCTGAGACAGATATCATATTCAACATGCAGTTGGTTGGCCATAGTCAGGTACCTCTTCACCACTTAAAGATACCTTGAGCAGAAAACACAGCGTGAAAGCCAAAGGTCTAGGAAGGCAACATGTTCTTGGTCAGAGACTTCTTTGGATGAGGAAGAGGCAGTCTGCCCGCCCCTAGAGTCACCGTCATCGACGAGGACAACCATGTCGGGATCATGGTCCTCGCCGTTGGTGAAGGTGGTGAAAGCAACTTCATGAAGATTATCGTCAACGTGTGGGCTGTCCATGATCGATGGAAGTTGAGATATGCTTTGCTTCTTTGGTCTCTGAGGAAGAAAGAATGGGGAAGCAAGAGTTTCCCACAGACGACGCCACTGATCTTACCGGACCAGAAAGAGATCAGCAATCAGCAACGCGTCGTGAGCTCTTAGTTTGCCGGTGGTGGAAAAGAGGAGGAGGTGTACATGCAAGATACTCCGATGCCAAAGTGAGAAAGAGAGAGTGAGCAAGTCCAGAAGGAAAATGAGTTTAGAATACCTGACTCTCTTGTGAAAGAGGGTATTCATAATGTGCCCCTAGCATTGAGCCAACAGTTATTTGTATTGGGTTGGATCTTTAGGCCCAATATGGATAATTGCCAAGATCTACGTGGCGTAGGGAAGACCAGTACGTGGTCTTCGTCCTGGGTTAACTGCCCCGTGATCTTCAGAAGGGGGGTGATCTGTTCTTTCAGATGCGGATAGTTGTCTGATGACGTGTCCACGCGTGGGGAGCACGTGGAGACCGTGGGGAAGATGCGTGAGCGCTCCCCGTGTGATTGTGGATTGGGCCCTCCCCAACAAGGAGTTGAGTTGGATCGTGCCCGATGGTGGACCAACCTCTAGCCCAGTCCAGAACACCTTCAATCTTCTTGCTCAAATATCTTCTTCAATCTTCTTGTTCAAATCTTCTTTCTAACCATTTTAATATTTTGACAAAAAAAATTAAACATAAATTAAAGTCAAAAAATCTTATACATTAAACGAAATTATTAATATAAAAAATTGAAGAAAAATCATAGAAAAAAAATTACCTTTGAAACAAATAGAAATTGGAAAGGAAATTTAGTATGAAATGAAGAAGAAGATTGAGAATGAGTAGAAAAAGAGAAAGAGAAAAAAATATTAAGTGTAATCCAGTCAGCGATGTGAATTTCACGTCGCAACACATAACGTTTAAATTTTAAAAATAAATTATAATAACATAGCGAAATAATAATCACGTCGCAAATATTCCAATGATCATATTGTTTTTCCCTCCTAAACCGTTGCGACGTGATATTCACGTCACAACCAAAATTTTGAAATTTCCCTCTTCAGTAAGTCTGACTCTTTTAATTGTTTTTTTTTTAATTTAAACGTTGCGACGTGATTTTCACACCACAACCTTTTTAAAAATAAAAAATCTGACACACCATGTACTAACATTACACTTATTATTTTAATATTAAAAACGTTAGTGACGTGATAAACATGTCGCAACTGCCCATTTTTTTCCACATATTTTTCACTTCACTAAATCACGTGGCAGAAGACAATATTTCTTGTCGCAACTGCCCATTCTTTTCCACATATTTTTCAATTCACTAAATCACGTGGCAGGAGACAATATTTCTTGTTGTGTTATGATTCAAATATGAGAAAAATATATATCACTTATAACTTAATAAAAGATATTCTACAATTTATTTTTATGACTAAATCTCTCTACAATTTTTTTTTTACTGAATCATTCTACAAAATATTCTATAACTTATTTCAATTTCTTTTATTAGTAAAACTAAAACTTTTTTTTTCAATTCTTTCTTTCTTTTTAAAAATAAAATTTATTACCCATTTTTTTTTTCTTTTTTAACCTTCATTTTAAAATATATTATATAAACAAATGCACATATCAATCCATAACTCGTGTGCGGGAATTTTACTATTTTCATGTAAAAACCACAACAGGTATCAGTTGCCTCGTACAACATTACATAAATATCTTGTCTAAACACAACAAAAAGAAGACTCCACAAATTTGATTTACCATAGTGGTGATATGAGAGTCTCATGGTAAACATGTAGATCCAACCCAAGTTTGCCTAAAGTCCTAGGATAATCAAGCATACCTGTATTTGCATCATACAGGACTAAAATGGAATACAAAGTTTTCATCAAAATAACACCATTATCCAAAATGCACAAAGGTTTAAAACAAGGTCGATATTTAGGATGCCAAAACTTCGCATGAGGGATGAGCATCAATTTAGTCCATGACTCCTCAACTCCATACTCTTTCATCAACCACAAAACCCAATGAGTTTCATTAGAATCAAAACATATACAAAGACAATTACTCAAGACATCTAGTACAGGATTGCAAATCCTGTCACCATCTTTTTGTCTAGGTAACAAGAGTTTCCCATAAGTCTCCTTTGCCAAATCAAAGGTAAGAATTATCCATTGATTGCAACCAAAACCTTCCTTAGCAAACCAATTCAAACTTCCATTCACAAACTTCCCTAACCACCTAGTGGGAATACAAGGGAAATCCTGAATGGTTGTCCAAGAATTTTCAGTTTCACCAAATGTATAAAGTTTAGTGACGGATTCATTTAAATCACCCACAACAACAAGCACTTTGTACTTGTCATTAACATGATCATAGCCGAAGCCATGGCATGTGATAACCCCATCAGACCCAACAAATTTAGGAGATTTTCTGGATCTCAATCTGGTAGCAGGGTTCCACAATCTAACATAACCTAAATGGATATCATATAAACAAAGCAACCCATTGCATGAACCTAGAATATGGTACTTACGATTCATCCTAACGCTAACGGGTTCAACAGGTTCTGATGGGTTTTCAAAAAGTGGTTTCACAGGGCAAGATACGATTTTGCAGTTATGGGTGATGTTGGAAGAGACCAATTGTTGGTGGGTTATGGTTGGATTCAACATTGATAGTCGAAGTTGGTTTTTAGTAAATAGGGGATTGGAGATTAGGGTTTTCCATGATTTGCATACACACCTAAATTGTAGAAGGGATCTTACCGGAAGTATGAGGAGGATCTCGAAGATGAGGTCGTCGGGGAGGATTGGAGGTGGGAGGTGAGATGGTAATTCATAGCCGATCGGAGAATGATGTTTCCGCTTCTTGACGGTGGTTCCGAGTTCCGGTTGAATCAAAACGGTGTCGTTGTGATTGTTGTGACGAAGCATCCTCGATCGGAAACTGGGCTCTTCGATGTTAACAACTCACCTACAGGCTAAATGGTTGACCATTTCTTACAACAATATTTACACACGCCATTAATGTTTCTTTTTCTTTATAAAAACAATTATTTAAAAAATTAAATATGTCTGAGTTTCTATAAATATTCATAATTGAATTTCAATCTCTTGACAATTTTTTTTTTTTTTTTTTGCTAATCTTTTATGTCTATAATATCTGCCCCATATAATATGCCCTAAGGGAAGTTGATGTCTGAGTAATACATGGAAATTATTTTTGACATATGGCATAATTGACATTGGATTATATTATTTATATTTGATTTATATTGATTTGTTAAATTTCAATATGATAACTTTTATTTTATTTTAATATTTTATTTAAAATATATATTTATTTATTTAAAATGTCAAATATACTAAAAAATATATATATTAAAAAAAATAGTTTTTAAGTTCGTGAACCATGTGAGCTGAACCTAATGAGATGAACCTAACGAGTCAAACCGAACTGTTCGTGAACTTATAACGAGTCGAGTTTGAGCTTAAAAAAAAGTTCGTGTCAAACTCGAACTCGAACTCGAATTCGAACAATTCTTAACGAGTCGAGCCGAGCTGAGGTGAGTTCGACTCGACTCGACTCATTTCCAGCCCTAGCCCCATATAATATGCCCTAAAGGAAGTTGATGTCTGAGTAATACATGGAAATTATTTTTGACATATGGCATAATGACATTGGATTATATTATTTATATTTGATTTATGTTGATTTGTTGAACAAATTCTGAAACATTTCTTTTTCATTTGTAAACTTAAGAGTCTTCTTCTTTTTAAAAATTGGTCTTTTTCTTCCTCAAAATTTATTTTTGTCTTCCTCATAACTCTCTACAACTTGGTTTTATCAACCATTCGAACCAAACTCAAGTTTCAATATTTTTTTTCTATTTTAAGGCGAGACAAATCCGTTTTCTTTTATTTCACATCTGCGAGAAGTCGTCCATGAAAATTGTGTGTGTCTCACGCTCATTGTTAGCTCACAAATTCGACACTCATATTAAGATTAGATATTTAAATAAAATATTAAAGTTTTGAAGAAATGCAAAAGACTTCCAGTGTGGAGACCTTCGAGCAGGATGTTATAAAGAAAATTTCCAAATATTTGGGAGACTACCTTCGACCAAGATGTTGGTTGAGTATTAGTTAAGTTTTGAAATTCAAATAAAGGAGGGAGTAGTTATGCTTTCTCATGACTAAGCAAGACAAATGACGTTCATCTAGCAAGTGACTGCATGCAATATGACACTTGTCGGAGGCTGGTGATTTTAAGAGGTTAATGGTAGTTAATTTTACTATTATAAATAAGAGTTATAGGCATAGAATTCAGTGTGTTGTAATTTACTATTTGTACAAGTTACTTCCAAAATTACTCAAAGTATCCGAGTGTAGAGAAACGAGTTCTAGGAGAATGTACGTTATGTAAACACACCACCTTTACTTTCAGTGAAATTTAATTTACTTGTTTAATCTTAAAGAGTTTTTCTTTACTTTGCATGCAGTCTACATCTTCCAAGCATTTTGTTTTACTTTGTCCAATACTTTTCAAAGTTCTTTACTTCGTTTCTGCAAATTTACATCATTTTTTACTTCAGTCGAACATTGCCTTTACGTCAAGCCTTTTTCTCAAAACATTGTCGAAGTGTGTAGTTTAGATAACTTAGTTCACATAAAAATTTAGCACATGTCATAGGATCAATCTGATCGATCCTGTGAGTCACCAAAGTTAGATTTGGAAGATCAGCGGTTGTTTTCCAATTTTCACGGGAAACAAAATGGCACGCTCAGTGGGGCAGTGCTAAAAGATTTCGTGAATTTTTGCAAAAAGTTGCAAAACTGCAGTTTTAATTTGTCTTTTATAAAATTTCGTTATATGTTATTAAGAAGTGTCAAGATAGTCGCTATAAACGAAGAAAGACCAAGAAGAAATTACACGGGGGATATGACGACAGATGCAAATCAGCCAAATAACCCAAACCTTCGAGGAGATGGTTCTAATCTTCAGCCTAATAACATTAATCCTCATGATGGGTTGAGAAATGACGTAGCTCCACCCTCAGTACCTTCGACTGGAGAGTAGATAGCACCTCCCGTGAGACTGGAACCAGTTCCATTAGTATTGGGACCAGGATCAACAAGTATAAGGGCCTACACCCAGCCTGTGTTGGAACATATTGGACCTCAAGCGTCGAATCCCCAAACTCTGCCAGGAGGAAATTCGATGACTAGACAGTTTGTCCCTCCAGGGTTTTCACAACTATTACCAAGAAACCCTCCATATGGAATGCCAAGAATTGTAATGCAAGGCCTCCAGAATTCTCCCCCAATATTCTCAAACAACGCGATGGTTTCACCATTACAGAGATCAAGGTCCGGGGTAAACATTGGTCGAAACAACCAAAGTATGGGTGTGGGGTATTCCACTCAGGGGCCAAATCTAACCAATACTTTGATAGCCTATTTGAGACAACAAATGGATGATAGCAACCTGCAAATAGTCCAAACCTTATCCCAAATTATGGGAGAAATCTTTCAGCCTCTGATCCAAAATACCACTCAGGCTAACCATCATTTAGCAACGCAATTGGCACAGTTGGCGGAATTTATGGGTGTGCCAGCAACTGTTAGAAACGCAGCTACCGTGGAAAACATTCCACGATAGGATTTAGGAAATCCACCTGAGGCCACTCTGGAGAATCAAGGGAGGGTCGAACTCCCCAGACTCAAACCACACAGAGTCAAACCACCAAGGGCCCAAATGCCAATCCCGGTAGAAAGAGACCCAGAGGTAATCATGGTAAATCGAAACCAAGATGCAGACAATGTCGTCCAACAGGTTCGACGTAATAACATGACCGTTGATAATAACTTAGCAGCCTTGGTCGAAAGGATAATGGCTCGAAATGGGGTAAGCATTGGTTTTACTAGGCCAAATTATATGTCACCAATAGTAGATTATATTCTCCAGTTAGAATTACCTCTCAGGACGAAGGTGCCTAAATTCATTCTCAGGAGACACAACGGAGTCTACTATCGAACATATGGCTTATGATATGATCTAAGTCAGAGAAATAGCAAATGATGAGAGCCTTAGGATAAAATACTTCCCCAGTTCTCTCACTAAAAATGATTTCGCTTGGTTTACAACTTTGCCCCCGAACTCAATTTGTAATTGGGCCTAGTTAGAACGTTTATTCCACGAACAGTTCTACATGGGGCAAACCAAGATTAGCTTAAAGGAACTAGCTAGTATAAAACGTAAGTTTTCTGAGCCGATAGAAGAATACATGAATAGGATTCGGCTACTCAAGGCTAGGTGCTTTACTCAAGTTCCTGAACACGAGTTAGTCGAAATGGCCGCCGGTGGCCTCGACTACTCTATTAGAAAGAAATTAGATACTCAGTACCTGAGAGACATGGCCCAACTAGCTGATAGGGTTCAATAGCTAGAGCGTCTTAAAGACGAAAAGGCCAAATTCAATAAAAATAAGAAAGTAGCATATGTCAAATATAACGAAAACATCGAAGGTGTACATGAGGAACCATTATACTTCGATAAAAATGAAGTAGATGTTGTTGAATTAAAACAGGGACCTCCTTACGCTTGTAAAGTATTGGCTCTCCCACATGGGAAAAGTTTTGTCGAATCTGAAAAGAACGGCAAATTCCCAAAGAAAACATACACTTTCGATATCACTAAATGTGACGAAATTTTTGATTTATTAGTTAAGGATGGGCAAATGATAGTGCCACCTGACGCTAAAATGCCATCTTTAGAACAAAGAAAAAATAGAGGATTTTGTAAATCCCATAATTTTTTGGGTCATAAAACATCTCAATGTTTTCTTTTCATGGATATGGTTCAGAATGCTATCCAAGAGAGAAGATTGAAGTTTGGAGAGAAAACCAACAGCCAGATGAAAGTCGACACTGATCTACTACAAGTAGTGGATGCTCACTATGTGAAACCCACAGAGGCGCATATGGTCGAAGTTGCTGACGACTATGACTTCTTAATCAACATGGTGGAGATCACTGAGGATTTTGTCAATGAAATCATACTGGACAAGGTTACTATAGGCTTCAGACGTGATACCCCAAAAATGCACATGAAGGAGGCTGCTGAGGGCCTCGACAAAAGTGTTGATAATTCAAGTCAAAAGGACACAAAGGGTTTCAGCCTGATACTGGTAACCAAAGAAGCTGTTGATAGTTTCATCAAGATGGATCAGGCCACTGGAGGCCTTGAGTTAGAATTCTGTAAGCTCAACCTAAGGGAGGACCTCGATGTTAATATGGTGAAAATAAAACCACATGAGACCATGGAGAACTATGGATTAAGTTGTCAAGAAGAACACAACAAAGTGGCCTACCTAAGACATGAGGAGACCATCGTCGAATTCCTTCACAGATGCCAGAAGAAGGGGTCCAGTGTCATATTGTGTCCCAGATGTAGTGCAATCTTCGACCTGAAGGCTTCCCAGAAACTCGAGGGGGCACGAAAGACAAAATAGAAGTGGGAGAGGCCCAACTTTGACCCTTGAAGCAATGTCCCAAGAAAATCTGAGCCTAACACTAGGGCCCCAAGGGCCAAGTCTGCTACCTTTAAACCATTTGCCGAGATTTCTAACGGCAAGTGGGTTAGACCTAATGATGACTAACGAAATGGACAACAAAAGTGGAAAAATTTTGAGGTCAATCGAGGATCATCAGTTACCTATCAAAAAGAGTTCCAATCCTCCAAGACTGCACATATCTCTGAAAACTACAAAGGAAAAAATCCAATGACACGATCACAGTGGAGAAGAGAGCAGCGAAAGAGGAAGACCCTTAGGGATGCCTCATTGAAAAATCAAGCAGCATCCAGCACCAATGTCCCTACTGAAACCAAAGGGGGTCAATCGAAAACTGTTGAGAAAATGCCTGTGGGACGA